GTGGTTCTTTCGCTGTCCGTGGACTGGGCGACTACCTCCTGCGGGCGTACTCGGTTGGGACCTTCGGGGACGTAACTGACCAGAAATCATCGAAGATTTGAGTCCACGAAGTCCTGCTGTGAGAGCATGCCCGTCATGATACAATGGGCCGCGCTCCGCTACTCTTTTTTTTTTTTTTTGTTTTTTTCCCGCTCGCTCTCGAAATGCAGAAAAGACAAAAATCGTGGCGGTGTAAGATTCACTCTCGTTTTGCACATATCTAGAGTAGTTGAGCGAGGCCCAATGCCGAACTTTCGTCGACAACACCGCTAACTACCTGTGCCTACCTACCCCCCGGGAAAGCACGCACAATCGCGATCCCAGCCAAAGTCTCTTTTAGAGAGAGGGGGTGAGGAGGCAAAAGTGATTGATTGGGACAGTTCGTCGATACGTTAAAGCCCTAATCGATGCATATAAGCCATCCGCCAATCATCGCCATCCAGCGGGGAGACTGACGGCCCCGGGAGATCGTTGGGCCCAAACCTGATGCGCTCTGAACAACTACTGTGTTCACCCAAGTACAACGTACGGTCATTACACCTGTATCTGGCCCACCTGTGAGTCTAGATACAGCAATCATGACCGTGCGTTGTTGTATTCGAGTGAACACAGTACCGCTGGGTTAATCGAGCCAATCATCATAACATATGGAAAGGTAAACCTAGCAAGGGATCAAGCAGACACAAAGAAAACGGAAACAAGACAAAGTCTTAAGAGAGAGAGGGAGGGAGGGAGGGAGAGAAAAGAGGAGGTTGGGAATATTATTGGTGCACCTAACGGACAAGGTTGCACATTTCTGTGCCCCCGCCTCACTCCCTTTTTTTGCTCTCTTCCTAACCGTCTGCTCTTCGTTTCAGCCATATCCACAGGATCCCAACCATCTTTACCGAGGAAAATAAGTGGCTAGAGAGCGTGCTGGAAAAAGTCCCGTGAAGATGGCTGAAAACAAGCCGAAGGATGAGGAGACACGCAGGGGTACGAGGAATGGAGGAGCAATGGAGGAGCAATGGAGGAGAAATGGAGGAGAAATGGTGGAGAAATGGAGGAGAAATGGAGGAGGAACAGAAGGCAGTACCTAGGGGTGTTGGTAAAGTCTGGTGGAGATGGCTGTAGAAGAAAGAGCAGCAGCGCAAGGAGGGGAGGAAGAGGAGGGCGAAAGGAGCAGGGGAATGCCGAGAGCAAGAATTGGCAGAGGAGGGCGAAAGGAGCAGGGGAATGCCGAGAGCAAGAATTGGCAGAGGAGGGCGAAAGGAGCAGGGGAATGCCGAGAGCAAGAATTGACGATGGCCATTTGTTACAGCGTCATCTCGGTCAGCACAAAACCACAGATAAAGTCCCTTCCCTCTCTCTCTCTCTCTCTCTCTCTCTCTCTCTCTCTCTCTCTCTCTCTCTCTCTCTCTCTCTCNCTCTCTCTCTCTCTCACACACACACACACACACACACACACACACACATCCTGGGAAGACTGTCGGGGTTCAACCTCCTGATGAGTAGGTGAAAAGTCCGAGGAAACAGTCTGGCACAGTCATAGTTTTTTTGGGTGGAGTTAGTGTATGGTCAACATGACAACTCACGCCTATGTTCTATCACAAACACGCACGCATGCACACCTGGGAAAAGGGAGAAAACACGACCTATGATCAGTGGGTGGACGTTGACGAAACAACAAGCTGTGATGAACACATGTGACAAACAACAATCACGCGCGCGCGCGCACACACACACACACGTGCAGACCCTAGCACGTGTGTGTGTGTGTGTGTGTGCATGCACACACACACACCTACATACCCTAGCACTGGCTCGTGACATCACCGAAGCCAACGGCGATGACGAGGACAGAGTGCACACCCAAGGAGGAGAAGTACTTGGAGAAGGGGGGGGGGTAGGGGTGGGGGAGGAGAAAGTGGAGGCGGAAGACGGAAAAAACAATAACAGCGTAAAGAAGAACGGCAGGTCAGCGCGGTAAGCCAATGGAAACGACTTCTACATCTTGAGAGTACTCTCTCTCTCCTCCTAACCCCCTTCACCTTGTCAATTCTTCTCCTCCTGAAAGCTGCCCACGTATGACCGACTCCCCAGCAACTTCATTCAGCCAAGCCCAAACAAAAGTTAAAAAAAAACATCAAGAGAAAGCGTCCAACAAGAGAAAGCAAGGACAACAACGTAAGCAAGAAAACTATTACTATCAATAAGGGTCAGCCTGAGCGTTGACGACAACATTAACTTACGGCTTCCGCCCTTTCCAAATTTTAATATAAAAGTTTTAGAATATATATTGTCACAAAGTTATCAGAGATATGGATACGTACACCTACAACAATCAATACATCGTCACAACGATCAATCAATATATTGTCACAAAATATCAGAGCGCAAATGCGGAAAAAAAGGAAAAAAAGAAGAAAAGAAAATTGAATTCAATTTTTAATCTTCTTCCTTATAACTCCCCCTGTTCAGAACCTCTTGTGTATATAACATGTACACAATCGATGAAGACTAACAAATGCATCGCATGGAGTGGTTGCAACCCGCGGTGTGAAAACCCACCTCCATGTTTCCATAATTAACGGATCGGACATAGCAAGCAGCTGAGGACTTGAGCGGAAGCTAAAGATTGCCAACGATTAGTATAGGCTGCTTGGTGTGACTACAGACAGCCAGCAGATTAGAGCCAGATGCTGATAATAGGAAAGGAAAACGACCATGACCAATAGAAAGCCGGGGGGAACGACCATCAAACTTCCCTGCCTTCCATCCACGCTCCCCCCCCCACCCCCCCCCAACTTCTCTTCCCCTCATTTCCCCGTGCTCCCCCTATCTCGTCGACCAGTCAAATCTCTCTCCTTTGTTATATCCTGGAAAAAGCAGGACAACTGGCACGCATATGGTCGCTCTTTGCCACTTAACCCCGATTTGGCCCCCAACGACCCCAAGACCCCTCCCCTCCCCTCCTCTGCCTCCCATTCCTCGCCCCCTAACCCCCGCTTTGGACCCCTACGACCCCAAAACCCCCCCTCCCTCTCCTCTGCCTGCCCTCCTCACCGCCCTAAGACCCCTCCCTCTCCTCTGCCTCCCTCCTCACCGCCCTAAAACCCCTCCCTCTCCTCTGCCTCCCTCCTCACCACCCCTTTCACTCAAACGCCCCTTCGTAACCCCTATGGTCAGATGATCGACGCCAGACATGACCGCATGTTAATCGCATGCAATACGAAATGGATCTGGTCGGGTAGACAACAGGCTTAGCGCCATTTCTCACCGAAGGTGATCAGTAGCAACTGTATCTTTAGCTCGATCAGGGCCAGATGCAAGCACCATTTTCGTCTCTTTCTCACCACATTTTCAGAGACTGTGGCAGAGCCAGCAGGCCCTTTATCACGAAATGACGAAGAAACAGCAATCCCAATCCCCATCCCAATCCCTTGGCCGTAATAAAGAACTAGCCCTGATCGCAAGTGAGATTTACAGAACTAGCAAGGGCAAGGATGAGATTAAAGAACTGCCAAGGGCAAGGATGAAATTACACGTCTAGCTCCGCGATTGAACGAAGGTGAGATTTACTGTGAATGGCGCGTGTATCTTTCCAAATAAATGGAAATATACACTGGCCATCGCCATTTTTCTTATCTAGCGAGCAGTGCAGCGAGTCCCCCCTACATACGGAGTCTCGACGACGACGAAGACTATGGCAGATACTACTAGTAAATTAGTAGTAATACTTCTAATTGGTCCATGATTGATCGGAGAGAAAGGAGGGGCTCGCTCGACCACTCACCTAAAACATGATGGGAGTACCTTTCCACCTTCTAGCCGAAGAGGCACTCAACATCTAAAACACCACCTGGTAAGGAGTGTAGCGAGGCCAGCGGACGTGTGCCATGAGATAATGGCAACGCCGCCACGTACGATGACATAGCTGGCCAGCTTAGATCGCCGTGACAGCATAAGAAAGGTATAGGCATTTGAGCCATAATACATCCGGATGCGTGCACTTCCTGGACCAAATCGAAGTAAATTGTGCACCTAGAAACTGCACTTCCAGGTGCAAATCGTGCACTTGGACCCCTGCACTTTCACGTTCATTCTGGCAGGAGAAATCTAAGAATTGCGTGACTTCAGTTGGGAATAAGCGCACCCTTTCTCCCATCGCCTGTTATCAGCAGTGAAGAGGATGAGCAGGAGAACATCAAGACGGGGAGACGATACGCCATCGTGCATGTCCAGTGGCGGGCTTCGTAGGCTGTAAGCGAAAAGACGCAGAGCCGAAGATAAAGAGCGAGCAGGAGAGGGGAGAACATAGCCGCACACAGAGAGAGAGAGAGAGAGAGAGAGAGAGAGAGAGAGAGAGAGATGGAGAGAGAGAGAGAGAGAGAGAGAGAGAGAGAGAGAGAGAGAGAGAGAGAGCAACCTGACTGCGAAGAGCATCGTGTGCAGCTCCACCGCGTACTCCCCCGCTTACACCACGCGCTGCGCGGCCAATCTCAATGCCCCAAGTTCGATTTCGAACTTTTATATACCGGGGACCGTGACCCACTAGCGGGGGTTTAGTTTATGTTTCGTGTATTTTCCAACGTGGTGGTCCCACTACGGTAGGGCCGTGCGATTTTCAGATCGGATGGCAAGGAGCCATGTACACTCGAAACTGGAACAGAACCTCGAGAAGTGGGACATGGCCCCGGGGCCTAGATAGCAAAGATCAACGGCCAGCATCTCTTAATCCGTGCAAGTGGGACCTTGCCCGGGGCCTCCGGCAAGTCTTTTCTTCCGACTGAAGTCACGGGACACTTGTAGTTCCTTTTTCTTTTTCTTTTTCTTTTTTTCCTTTTTCTTTTTCTTTTTTCTTTTTTCTTTTTTTCTGATTCATCTTGTATTGCATATGGATATGGATAGGTCATACCTCGCTGAGGAAACTGTGCATTGATGCATTGATCCTGCTGCATGGAGCTGGTCAACGGGCCAAGCGAGATGTCCTCAACTTGGACTGTCGGAGTACTCTGTGGCAAGAGGCTACAGTTTGAGACTGAGAAGTGGCAACAGAAGCCCCCTGCGGATGTGGCCATCAGCAGATGGCAGGCCGTGACATCTGATGACCTGTCAGAAACAGGTCCCTCCTTCCTTGACCTATGCGACACGCTGGCCAAACTCCGCCTACTGGTGACACCTTCAGCAGTTTGGCTCGGCCTCGTGTCCTGTCGCCATACCCTTCCGAAAAGCCAGCGATGGGTGGCCGGTCATCGTCCACATGTAAGTTTCCCACGTGGCGCCGTATCATCGCGGATGAAACCGTGCAGCCGGCCATCCGTTGCGACCCCCACCTACTCCCCGCCCCCCAGCCGTTGCACCCATCCGATGTGGCGACCCTATCTCGGGCGGCTGACGTGGTGGGGACGTTATCTGCTGCGACTGTGCAATCGTGTCGACAGGGTGCGACGTCGCCGTCTGTCTCTCTCTCTCTCTCTCTCTCTCTCTCTCTCTCTCTCTCTCTCTCT